CCTTGCCGCCGACCTTGCCGCCGACTTTTCCGCCGACCTTGCCGCCGACCTTGCCGCCGAGTTTCCCGCCGACTTTACCGCCAACCTTGCCGCCGACCTTGCCGCCGTACTTTCCGCCCTTGCCGATGCCGTTCATGCGTGTTTGTTGTAATTCCAATTAATTTTCGCGCCAAAACTCGAGCTGCATCTTTTCGCACTGCCATGCTGGTCCGCGCCAGCTGCCTCGGCGGCGGGGCGCGCGGCCTCTCGCGCCTGGCGCGGCTCTCTCGCGCGGCGAGCGGCGCTCCCGCGCCTCGCTCGCCGCCTCTTGCGCAGAGCGCGGCGCCGGCTCTGTTCTGCCGCACGTGCGGCGCGCTCGACGCGCGCCTCGGCGGCGACGCGCTGCAGTTTCCTGCAATCTGCTCCGGCGACTTTGAGCGCTTCGAGGGCGTCGACCGCGCCGAGTTTGAAGCCGGCGCGCGCGCACTCGCCGCGCAGCTTCACCCCGACAAGCTCGCGAGCGTCGAGAGCGCGCGCACTGCGCGTGGCACGGAGCTTTTCCGCAAACTGCAGGAGCTGCGCGACGCGTGGCTCGACCCGTTTAGCCGCGGCGAACTCCTGCTGCGCGCGCGCTACGGCGAGGCGCTCGCTGCGGACGGCGGCCCGCTGGACGACCCGGCGTTCCTTGGCGACGTGATCCGCGTGAACGAACTCGTCGCCGCTGCGGACTCCGACGCGCTCTGCGCAGCGCTGCACGAGCAGCTCGGCGCGGAGTTGCAGGCGCTCGAAGCGGAGCTGCGTACGCAGTTCCGCCGGCTCGAAGCGGCGCAGTCGCGCGGCGAGCGCGCCGCGGCGCTCGCGGCGATTAAGAACACGCTGATGCGTTCGAAATTTTTGCGGAAAATCCAGAAAGTTTGCGCGGAAAAGCGCGCCGCGCTCTAGCTAGTCATTGGGTTAGCGGCGGTCGGTCTTGCCGATCGAGCGCTTGCCGGAGTACAAGTGTTTCGGCCGACGCTCGCCGATGAAGCGGTCGGCTTCGTGCGTCTGGCCAAAGCGCTTGTTCTTGCCAGGCACGCGGAAGGCCCTTTGCACGCGCGTGATGTCTTTCTTGAGCGTGCGCGCGACTTCGGGCTTGTCGCTGGTGACGCGCGCGAGGCGGCTCGGCGGCAGCAGTCTTCGCTGCGCCTCGAGCCCGACGACGCCGGCGCGGCGGCCGAGCGCGAAGGCCTTCAGCCGTTTCGCGGTGGCGCGCGCCTGCTTGCGCTTCGGCGGCGCGGCCTGCTGCGGCGTCTCGACGTCCGACGCTGCGGCGTCGCTCTCCGCTGCGGCGTCGCTCTCCGCTGCGGCGTCGCTCTCCGCTGCGGAGTTCTCGAGATCGCTGATTTCGCGCAGCTCGGCTTGCGTGTCGGGCGTGGCGAGCTCGATCGTCTTGATGTGGCTGAGCACGTCCTCTGGGTCGAGGTTCATCGCCTGCAGCCGCGCGCGGAACTGCTCGGTTTGCAGCAGTCCGCGCGCGGAGCTGACGGACTTGCTGAGTTTGCGGAGCTTGTTGAGCAGTTTGTGTGACTCGGCCTTCACGCGCAGCTCGTAGATCTCCTTTTGCATCGCGAACCAGTCGCTCGAAGGGCTCTGCTCGGCGTCGTTCCAGAGCCGCTCGATTTCGGCCTCTTCGGCCTCGAGCTGCTCGAGCTTCTGCAAAATGTCGCTGTCGACGAAGTCCGCCACGTTCTTGCCGTCGAAGATTTCGGGCACGATGTCGTAGCGCCACTCCTCTTGGCTGACAATCCACTGCTTGCGCAAGTCGAGGTCGAAGACGCCGGGGCCGCCTTGCTGCTCCATCAACTCCTTCGCGAGCGGCGCCTGCTCCGCAATGTCTTCCGCGACGCGCGAGCGCCCGTTTGCGGGCACGACGGGCGGTCGGTTCGGGTTGCGCGCGACCTGCGTAACGTAGTGCCGCGGCTGCGCGCTCGCGCTGAGTCCCGCGTTGAGTCGCTGCTCGACGCGTTGCGCGAGCAGCAGCTGGCACGCAGCGTTCTTCGCCTCGTCGAGGTTTGCGCCTGTCAGCGTGGAGCACGAGACGAACTGCACGCTCGGGCTGACTTCCTTCATCGAGTCGAGGCTCGCGCGCTCCTCGGCGCTCAGGTCTTCCAGCGATACGAGGTCTGTCTTGTTGAGCACCACGAGCACAGGCTTCGTTTTCAGCAGCGGCGCGAGCGTCTTGAACAGACTCACCTGTTCCGCGATCGAGTAGCCGCACTGCGTCGAGACGTCCAGCAGGTAAAGCACGGCCGCCTGCAGGTGCGCCATCGCAACGATCGCGCTCATCTCGATCGTGTTTCGCGCTGAGAGCGGCCGGTCGAGCACGCCGGGCGTGTCGAGCACCTGCCACGGCTCGTTGTCGAAGTAGAAGTGCCCGACGAAGATGTTCTTGGTCGTGAAAGCCCACTCCGCGGTCTCGACGTTCGCGTTCGAGAGCGCGTTCATGAACGTGCTCTTTCCGACGTTTGGGTGCCCCGCGAGCAGAATCGTCTTCGCGTACACGTTCACGGACGGCAGCCGCGCCAAGTGCGTGCGCACCTGCGCGAGGTACGCGAGCGTCTGCTTCAACCTGCGCACCGCCGAGCACATGCGCCCGAGCGCCGCTTTCTTGAGCATCTTGCACTTGTAAGGCCCGTCTGCGTACTTGAGCAGCCGCACGTAGTCGCTGCAGACTGCGTCGAGGAAGTTCGCCACGCCGCGGACCTGCCCGAGCGCGGCTTTGTAGTGGTCGCGGTCGTAGAAGATGTTCAGCAGGTCGGCGTAAAACGGGTGGATCGTGTCGATCATCGGAAACTGCGCGAGCAGGTTCTGCAGCTTCTCCGCGAAGGCTTCGCGACAGAACTTGATTTTGCGCATGTAGAACGCGCGGATGCGCCGAATGTCGTATTGCGGGTGCACGACCGTCGGCGTCTTGCGCTGCGTCTTCGAGAGCACTGCGTCGATGAGCTCGTCAGCGGGCAGCACGTTTTGGATGTCCTGCGTCGCGCGCGGCGCGACTTACCTTGAAGCGGTACTGCAGCGCGAGCGCGGCAGCGTCCTTGGCAGCACCCATGGTCTCGCGCGGAAACAGTAAAAGAGAAGCGCGGCAGCCGTTACAAGCTGCAAATTAATATTTTATTAAAATTTAGCCATGGCAGACATCACAGCCCAAGCGCCCGTTGCGCCAACCAAAACGCTGGAGGTCGAGGAGCCCGTCACGAACATTTCCGTAGCGACGCAACGCGTGCTGGAACAGGCACGCAAGACCGGAATTTTGAAAATCGGCACGCGCGAGGTCATCAAGTCGCTTTCCAGCGGCACTCCGCACTTCGTCTTTGTGGCGGACGACGTGAAGGAAAGCAAGATCGTCGAGGTGATCGAGGGGCTCGCGCGCCAGAACAACATTGACGTCGTGCACACGCCGAGCAGCGAGCAGCTCGGCGAGTGGAGCGGCCTGTACGAGCTCGACGTCGAAGGCAACCCGCGCAAAATCCGCAAGGCTGCGGCCGTCGCGGTGCTGAAGGTCAAAGGCAAGTCTGCCGCTCTCTCTTTCTTGTTGAACCACGTGAAGGAAGCTAAGGTCGCAGCCTAGCTGCGGTCCGCGATATTGTGTTTCTCGGACATGCTACGTGTAATTCAACATAATCTCTTTTAATATGGACGCAGCGCAGAGAAGCACGGAAGGCGTGCCGCGACGGCACAGGCTAGAGCTCATCAAGAAGAACAGCGTGTTCACGCTTGTCGCCGCGGTGCTTCTGCTGCTCTCGATCAGCGCAAAGTTGCTCGAAACCTACTTCAGCGCCGCCCTAATTCCCGTGCGCTTCAACTCGTCGGTCGAGGGGCCGGAAGAAAGGCTTGCGTTCCCGCAGCCCGAGGCTGACCCGGCGGGTGCGAGACTGGAAAGCGCGTTAGTCGATTCGCTGCCAGCGGAAGTGCGTCACGTCCGCACGGTGAAGCGGGAATCTAGAGAGAGACGGCCGTCTGGCGCCGGGACGAGCAAGCGACGGCCGTCTGGCGCCGGGACGAGCGAGCGACGGCCGTCTGGCGCCGGGACGAGCGAGCGGCAGCCCGAAAGCGCGCGGCGCAAACGAAATACTCAGCGCGCGAGCGCCGAGCGCGCGCGCAACGATGTTGACGCAGCCGGCCTGCCGCTCGAAGCTACGCGCCGCGCACGACTGGTGAAGCGCAGCAGCAGCACGCCTGCGAAGGCCGGCGATGAGCCGGCGAAGCGCAACGACCTGGGGTTTGGCGCGGAGGCGCAGCAGCAGTGGGACGCCAAGGTGCTGCAGCAGTCGCAAAGCTCGAACCACGCGCCGCAACGCACCGCGGTGCACGAGAAGCAGCCAGACGTCACCGCCACCGAACCTAGCGCGCAGCCTAACACGGGCGCGAGCGAAGGCCAAAAACACCTGGCGTACCAGCCGCGTAAGCGCGCGCTAAGCAGCAAGCAGTCGATCGAAGCGAGCGAGGACGCAGTGCAATCTACCACGCCGACCGGCGGATCGCGCAAGACAGTCACGGCAGAGCAGGCCGGCACGTGCAACATTTTGATCCACTCGAACGGTCTGACGTTCGTGCCGAACGAGAACCTCGAAGAATCTTTTCGAACTTGCGAGCAGCTCACGCAGAAGCTCTGCGTCAACCGCGAAACTTCTTACGCGGAGTACAAAGCAGCGAACCCCACGGTCAACATTTGCCGCATGTCTATGAAAGTCGTCGAGTTCGCTGCAGTGCACCGGTTCGCGTTGAGCTTATTTACGCTCGCCAGTCTGCTGCTTACGCATTTGTACATCGAGAACAAGTTCAGCAGCCTGCTGGTCTTGCGCTTCCTGCCGATTGCGGTCTGCGTGCTGCTCAACGTGGCGATGTACGCCGCCGAGTTCATCTCGTACCACAGGATTGCCAAGGCCGTGCACTCACACGTCGCTTACCTGCTGCCCTACGCCGCTGGCGACGTCGTTGGCCTCACACAGCACCCTGCCGCGATCGCGTGCTACAGCGTCGCGAGTCTGCTGACCATCATTTTCGCCGCTGTCGGGTCCTACCGCAGTTACGTGCAGTACAGGCGACTCGACGAAGAAACGCTTGCGCAACTCTTGAGCTAGGTGGCCGCGCCTCTGCAGTTACCGCGTTGGGCAACCGCTTTGGTTTATCTGCGCTTGGTAACGAATGAGGTTCGTGCGTTTCGAGCCACGCGAGCCGATCAGCCTGCGCTCTCCGCACAGAGCTCAGCGGCTGGCGATACTAGTTAGTGTCCGCAAAGAAGCGCGTTGAGCCAATGCAGAGCAACTGCTGTTCACAGTAGGGCTGTTCGTCGCAGCTAATTCGCGTAATTATTTTATCAATTTTCATCTGAGTGACCCGCGCTCCATGTAGGTTCTTGTTGCGCGCGCCGCAGGAGCGCCAATTCCGAGCCCTTCGACTGGAAGCAGCAGAACGTTGCGCAGTTCAAGGCCTGGTTGCGCAGCAACTGGTATTTCAGCGTCATCAAGCAGTTCTTCTGGCTCGAAGAGGCGCGTCTGCTCAGCATTATGAACGCGCTGGTCAGCACGATCCCGCAGTCTGTTTTGCACACGCCGATCGCCAGTCTGCTCGACGCCTGCAACAGCGGTTGCGAGCCGTCGGCGGAAAGTAAGTCACCAAGCGCGCGCGCTAGCCGTCAAGATGCTGTACGAAGCGCTGCACTGGACCCGCGGGCTATTTTCCGCCAAGCACTAAATATTTGAAATAACGCGCAACGAGCGCAATTTTCCGAACCGCTTCGCTGCACTCGATCCCGCCGCTGCGTCCGCGCATGACTGTTGTCTGTTTTCAAACTAAACGCGGGCTCTTCAAAGCCGAGCTTGACGCGGAAACTGCGACCTGCGCGCAGCTTTACGCGCTCTGTGCGGAACGGCTCTCCGCCGACGCCTCACAGCTCGCCATTTTTCGAAACGGGCAGCGCGTTGACTCCGCGAGCGCCGAGCTGCTGCGAAGCGCAGTTGATCTGTCGCCGCCGGCGATGTTTACGGTCGAGGGCGCCGACGAGACCGTCGTCGAGCTGCACGAGAAGCCGAGCGTCGTGCGCGACGGAAACGCCATGCTAGCGTCCGCCGCGACGTTGCTGGACTGCAAGTATTTGCCGTTCGAGCTTTTCCTCGATCAGCGAAATTACTCCGTTGCAGACCTGCCCCTGGCCAAACCGCTGCTTCGCTACAAGGTTGCGAAGGGCTCGGAGACGCGCGTGCCGCCCCCGGTAACGCTCGCCGCGCAGCCCTACCGCCACGTGGACCAGATCGAAGTGTTGCGCGCCGACGCGCTCAACTTCCACTTGACGCGCTGGCAACTCGCCGGCTGCAAAAAGCCGGAATTCGCGTTCCTGCTCGGGTATTACTTGCCGGAGAAGGCGTACGGCGACGGCTTCATCGCCGGGATCAAAGCTGTTGTTGAGAACCTCTACGCGCCTGCACAGTACTTCGACGAGGAAAGCGGCGAGATAGTCATTAACGACCCGGACGTCCCGGTGCTCGAAGCCGTGCTGCAGCGACTGGACATGCACATTGTCGGCGTGCTGCTCGCGCACGGCCGGCGCGACTCGAACCTGCCTGTCGAGCATTTTCTCTCACTGTCGAAGCTGCAGCTGCAGCTGCTTGCGTACGACCTGCACTTTACGGGTTACCCGGTGCCGAACTTGGTTATCTTGACCGCGAAGCCTGCCGACGCAAGCGTGCGCTTCGACGCGTTCATGGTCAGCGACCTCGGGCTGCTGCTCGTCGCCGAGGAGCGGATTGCTTACTCCGATGGCAAGCTGGTCGTCGCGCCGTCGCCGCCAGATGTTGTCTTGCCGGCTGTGCTCGAAAACGGGAAGCCCGTCAACGAGGTGGACCCCGACTGGTTCACCGTGCGTGTTAACGAGACGGTCAGCACGAACCCGCAGGCGCGCTTCAGCAAGCAGAGCTTCGCGACGCGCGACCACTCGCTCGCGTGTCTCAAAAAGTTCATGGAGCACGTGAAAAGCTACGAGAGCGCTGAGCTTAGCGACCTCAACCTGATAGTGTTTATTGCGAAAATCTTGGGCCTCGAGAGCATCGCGCCGCTCATCGACTTCGTGAACGCCGGCACGGAAATCGAGCCCTCTTACTTCGAAATGCTGCGCACCGTCTGCGACAGCGCGGCGTCCTAGTCGAGCAGCTTCGCCGCGAGCGCGTCGAGCTGCTCGAGGTTCTGCTTCGCCAGGTGCTGTTCGACCGTTTCGCGCAAGACTTGCTCGAAGTTGCTGCTTGTTGCTGTGCGCACTTACGCGTTCGCAGCCTCTCCGGCTTGCGAGCTGTAGTAGCTGCCCACGGCCGCGACAAATTCGTCCATCTCTTCTGAAATTTAAATTAGATTATTGAGCGTGCTGCCCCTTGCGCGCCGTCCCGCTTTGGCGCTATGTACGACCTCGGCGTCGGCGTTGCGGGCAACTTCGCGCAAGCACTTGCCGCTGCGCGACAGCTCGGCTACCACGGCATTGCGCTCACCGTGCGCGCAGCCGCTGCCGCGCCCAAAGCTCTCGACGCGCTGCGTCCTGTGCAGTTGAACTTAGAGCTCGCGTTGCCCGCTCCGGCGCCCTTCGTCGACGACGCGCTCGCCGCGCGACTGCGGCGCGGCAAGAACTTCGCGGTCTTTAGCCGGCTGCACGTTACCCTCGCGTCGCAGAACGACCTGTTCGCCTTACGCAACTTTTTGCGAAAACACCCCGCGCGTTTCGAAATTGTCAGCGCGAGCGTCACCGAGCAGAGCGTGCTCAACACGCTCATTGGCTGGGAAGTTTCGCTGATCGACATCTTGAGTCTGCCGGTGTGCGAGGACGCCCCGCCGCTGCGGCTGAAGCGTTCGCAGGTCGCGCGACTTGCGGCGCTAGGCGCGTTTTTCGAGGTCGACCTCGGCCCGGTGCTGGACTCGACGGAGATGCTCGCGCCGTTGTCGAAGAACTTGCGCAACATGGTGCGCTACGTGCCGCCCGCGCGCTTGCTGGTCACGAACGGCCGCGCGGCGGTTCCGAACTGGCGCGCGCCGCGCGATCTCGTAGCGCTACTCGACGCGTGCGGCACGCTCAAGCGTCACGAGCAGCTCGCGGTGCTGCTGGTCAACCCGAGGAACGCGGTGCAAAAAGCCTTGCAGCGCCAGCACAACTCAGGCGCCTTGCCGTTGTAAAATAGTTCGGGCGATTTCAATTTTCGCTATTATATTTCTTTCATGCCGGAACACTCATCGCGCTTTTCTCTGCTACTCGACAAATACCGACGCAGCGATCTGGTGCAGCGATTGTTTCAGGCGGAGAAGACTTGCGGCGCGACGTCAGAGTCGGAGAGATTGTCTCCGACGGTGGTCGCTTCTTCTCTAAAGCGGCTAAACCGCCGCTCGAATTCGGGCTTCCAAGAGCGCTTCGAGCGCGGCGAAATTGCCTCCTCGTTTGTGATCTTGCTCTACGCGCAGTTCGTGTTCTGCCGCGTGCTCAAGGCGCTGCTGTGGATGTACTTCGGGCTGCTGCGCCTCTGCGGGCTGAGCGAAGCAAAGATTGTCAAGTCGCGCTCTTCTGAGCTGCACGTACGCTTCAGCGAGCCTGTTGTCTGCGAGACCGTCGAGTTCAAGTCGGGCGAGAGCATAACCGGCGAGCCCGAGGACTACATCTCGATGGACGAGATCACTCTCACGCAGGACTTCTCGACAGAAGCCGTCGACGCAGCAGCTGCGCACCCGGCGCACTTCGCGGCGCCGCTCTTGGAGCCACTCTCTGTTTCCGACGCTGTGACTGACACCGTGACGGACACTGCGACTGACAGCATGATGGACACTGCGGCGGACGCGGTCTCGGACTTAGTGATGGACGCAGCTTCAGACTCGGCCGCACTCAGCACTGACGAGTTCGCGGCTGAATTAGCTGCGGACGCGGCGGTGGGCGCTTTCGCCTGCTGCGAGTCTTGCGGCGTGCCGTGCATGTGTGCGCGCAACGCGCCTGATACTAGTGGCGCGGTGAACGGCTCTGGCTGTGAGCCTGACAGCGAGTCCGGCGACCTCTGCTCGGAGAAATTTTTCGAGAAGCTTGGCGAGGAGAGCGGTTTGGCCGGCGACGGCCGCGACGACGCTGCGTTGGTCGACGAAAAGTTAAACCGTGGATGCTGCTGTTGCGCGGCGCGGTACTGGGAGAGCACTGGCGAGGAAGCGCCTGAGCAGCCTGCTGACGCGGCTGCGAGCACGTGCGAGTGCGCCACCAAGAGCGCCGCGGAAGATTTTTTAGTTCGCTCCAAATGGAGCGACCCTTCGCTCGGCGGCAGCGCGTCGCGCGATGCGGAGCAGGTTAGCACTGTGGGCGGCGAGGACAGCGATTTTGACGGCGACGTAAACTTTGTCGCACTTGACGCCGCACTGGCCGCTGAGGCCACTGCGGTCGAAGCGCGCGCCGCCGAGGCAGCTGCGGTCGCCGAGAGCGGCGTTCTCCCGGTTGTCGGCAACACAGCTTCCGCCGAAAAAGCTGAGTTCGGCGAGGCGACTGACGAGGCGACCGGCGACGCGAGCGGCGACGCGAGCGGCGACGCGACCGTTGCTGCCGCCGCGCAGTTGGCGCAGCCGGAGGCGGCGTACGACGACGATCGCGCGGAGGCGCTGAAGGCCGAGGGCAATCGGCTGCTGGCCGCCGCGGAGCTCGACCAAGCGATCGCAGCGTATCGCGAAGCCGTGCAGCTCACAAATCCGGAGTCCGCGCACTTGAAGGCCGTGCTGCTCGGCAACCTGAGCTACGCGTACGGCAAGGCGGCAGACTGGGAGCGCGCCGAAGAGGCCGCGCGCCTGAGCGTCGCCAGTGATGCGCAGTACTACAAGGGCTTTTTGCGGCTTTACGCGGCGCAGTACGCGCGGGACAACCTTGCGGACGCGGTTGCGAATCTGAAGAGCGCCTGCGAAGACGCGCAGATCGCTGGCGTTTACGGCAGCGAGCTGCTGCGGCTGCAGCAGCGCCTCGAACAACAGCAGGCGCGCGAGCGCGAGGAAATGCTGCAGAAGCTCAAAGGGCTCGGGAACTGGGTCCTCGGCAAGGTCGGCATGTCGGTCGAAGACTTCGAGACCGTGCAAGACCCGAACACCGGCAGCTACTCCATTCAGTACAAAGGCAAGACTGCGCAACCGTCGGGCGTGCGCTCTTAATTTTTAAAACTTAATGCATATCTGCTACGACAGAATCTGGAGAGCAGACTTGATTTCGCCGCTCGCTTGCGCCAGCAGCTCTGCGCGGCGCGCGCGGAATGCTTTCGCGGCGTCGAGCCGCTTGACGAAGCGCTCGTGGCTCTTCTCCTTGCGCACGGCCTCCAAGCGCTTCACGATCTCGTCACCCTTCCAACCGACCGAGCTCGCCAAGCTGCCCAGCCGCGTTTTGGGCGTCGTCGTTCTCAGGCACTGCGTCACCGCGGCCTCCGGGCACGTGAAGCGCTTGAAACGGTCCCATTTCCCGGGGATGCCTTCCACCACCGTGATCCGCTTCAGCGCCGCAGCGCCGCGCTGCGTTTTGTGCGGCAGCATGCCGCGCACCGCGCGCTTGAACATCTTAGACGGCTCGCGGTAGTGGATGTGGCTGCGCTTTGTCGGGTTCGAGTTGCAGTGCTTGCGCAGGAACTCCATGAACTTCAGACGGTTGCGGAACTGCGAGCGCGAAATCACGAGCTCTTCCGCGCGCACGACCGTAACCTTTTGGCCCTCGAGAGCCGCCTTCGCGACGCGGGCGGCCAAGCGTCCGTAGACGTGGCCTTTGCCGTCAATGACGAGTTCTTTGCTGCGAGAACAATCCATGGCTCAATTGTTTTTTGGCTATTATTACGAAATACGTTATGTCTAAGCACGACTGTCTTGGGCAGCGTCGTTTCCTGACTGCTTGCGCGGCGCCGCGCCGGAAGGCGCGCGCGCGGCCGCGTCGGACTCTGTGCCGTGCCCGGCGGCGCGCTGGCTCACCGCCTCTTTGACTTTCCGCCCTATTTCTTTGTACGTCTTTGCGCCGGGCTGCGGCGCCGCAGCGCCGCTGAGGCTCTGCGGCGTGCGGTTCTGCGAGCGCAGAGCGTCGAACACTTCCGCGTTCGACGGCGCGTCGCGCATCAGCAGGCTCGCGTTCGCGCTCGCGAGGAACGGGTTCGGCTGGCGCAGCGGCGCTATTGCGCCAGAAACCGTGTTACGCCGCGCCCCCGTTTTCGACGCCTGCGGCTTGAGAGCTCTCGTCACCAAGTGGCCCGGCGCCGCGCACTGCGCGCGCGGCGTCTGGACAGTCGCGACAGCTTCGGGACTCGCAAGTTTCGTTGCACCAGTCGCGGTGCTATCGAGCCGTGCGCACTCCCGACGCTCCGCGGCTTCGCCGCTCGCTCCTATACTCATAGGAGAGCTCGTGGCCGGGATCGCGCTCAGCGTCTTCGGCGGCGCGGGCTCTGCGCCGTCTACCGCAGTCAGAGCGGCGGCCGCAGCTGCAGCCGCGACTCTGCCGCGCGCTTCGAGCGGCTGTGGGCGCGCAGCTGCTCGCTGCTCGCTCCCGGTCGTGTGCGCAGCGGGTCGCGCGTCGTTGCACTCGCTGGAAGACAGCATCGCCGCGCATGATGCGCGGCGCATGCGTTGCGGCGCTAACGCGTTGCCGCTAAATCGGTTTTCATTGTCTTCCTCTTGCATCAGTGCCGCAATGTCAATCATCGCGTCTTTGTTTTCCGTCAGCTTGAACTTCCAGGGCGCTTGTCTCGACGCGGCCTCGGCGAAGCTGTTGTCGATCTCACGCTCCGGGGCGCGCTCTGGCGACGAGTCGTGCGAGCCGCGATGCGAGCCCGCCGGAGACTGGTCCGCCGCGCTCGGCAGCGCGAACAGGTTGAGCCGCTGCAGCGCTTCGCTGAAGTGCAGCGTCAGCTGCCTGCGTTCGCACGGCAGCTGGTACTTGGCGCACGCGTAGTGCACCAGCGCGCTCGCGATGTCGAACAAGATCACGTGCGAAAACACCAGTTCGCACTCGTGCAGCCCCACCAAGAACAGGCAGCACAGGCGCTTCAAGTTGTAGCGCGCCTCACTGAACGCGAACGTCTGCAGCGCGTAGTGCGCCAGACTGCCGATGCAATACAGCAGTTCTTGGTAGTCAGCGTTTGCGGCCTCCACTAGCTGGAACAACGCAGACTCCGGAGCGCGCGTGGTGGCGCGCACGTGCCGCCAGGTCTTCAGCGTCAAGTCCATTAGCACGCCGCTGAAGCTCTGTTCCAGCAGTTTCTGCAGCATCGGCACTAGCGTGAGCACGTTCGACGCCTGGCTGACCAGCTCGAGGTTCAGCACCGGGAACGCCATGAAGTCGAAGGCGTTTGCGAGCAGTTTCTCGAGCGAGGGCGGCAGCGCGTACTGCGCGTTTATCCGCATGTACGCGACGTACTGTTGGTACGTCGAGTCGCGCACGCACAAATCTAGCCGATCCACGGGCAACAGCGCGCACTCTTGCGCGGCTGCGATCGGCGCCGACGCGGGGTGCGCAAACTGCATGCGCGCATTGCTCGCCAAGTCGCGCACGCCGCTAAACCCCGAGCGCAACGCGTACGCGCTGTAACTCAGCGGCGCCTGCCACCACTTCTGCGTCGGCGTGGGCGGCAGCGCGGCGCCGTCCGCCGCGCAGCCCTGCTGACGGGGCGTCGCAAGCGGCACGTAGCACGGTTCTCGCGGCTCGAAGGCGCAGTGCGGCGCCCGGACCGTCTGCGGAGCTTGCGCGGCCTGCATCACTTCCACGAAGTTCGGCTTCTGCGGAGGCAGCTGCTGCGGCGTGCCGGGCGCGCTGGCCGGGCTGGGCAGCTCGGGCGTCTCTGCGGCGGACAGCGGTATCTCGATGCTCTTTCGGCCCCTCTCCTGCTCTTGCTGCTGCGACGCCACGCGGTACTCGCTGCGGCGCGTGAGCTGGCGCACGCCTTTACAGACGGCGCGAAGCAGAGAGCGCGAGCAGCGGAACGCGCCTTTGCACAGTGCGCGAACGATCGCGAACAGCGGTTTGCGGAAAAGCAATGCCACCAGAACCGCCAGCACCACGCCTCCGGCGCTCGTGAAGAACGCGCGCAGCCCGTCTAACCAGCCGAACGAGAAAAAGCTCCGGATCCAGCAAATCAGGTCGTACCACGCGCACGAGCCGTTCGCAGAGCCTTCGTCTTCTTCGTAGTCGATTTCGTTGTCGCTCGGATTGATCGGCTTCTCGACGGTCGACCAGTTCGGGTCGCGCTGCAGAAACTCTATGTCAAGGCTGCGCTCGCCGAGTGTCGCGCCGCGCGCGTCGAGCAGCTCGAGAGTGCAGTTGTACGTGGCGGAGCCGTGCCCCGCGTTGCGCAATACTACGTTCGTGAACGCCATCTCAGCGCCCGGCTCGAGCACGGACTTTGCCGGCAGCACCTCGATGTTCGCGGGACTCGGCGGCTCGTCGTTCTTCGGCTCGGTGCCCTCCTCGAACGTCTCCTCGAACAATGCGCACTGCGGCACCTGCGTCACGAAAATGCCCGAATTCTCGCCGGTGTTCGCGACTTGCGTCACGATCGTTCGTCGATAGCCGTCCGCGTCGCTGAGCTCGACGCCGGCGATCTGGCCCGGCGCCAGCATCGGCAGGTGGCTGATCGTTGCTGCGTTCAGCTTCACGGAGATCGTTGAGACGTGCGAGCGCAAGCTGAGCCAGGACACCGCCGCGGGCGACTTCACGTCGCCCTGCGCGCTGTTCGCCAGCCGCTCCGCGTGGATTTGCGGCGAACTCGACGACCAGTCGGGCAGCTCGCGGTACTGCAGAATGTACTGCACAAACTGCGAACCTCTCGAAGCGAGCACGCGTTGGTCGGCGAGCAGAAAGTCGTTCGGGTTGTAGTTGGTGCAGTTGCCCGAGCTGACTTTGCAGAACGGACTGCTTTGCGAGAGCCAGCTTTGGCGGCGACCGGTGTGCTCCTGCGCCCAGCGCGTCACGCTCGTCCCGATCTTGTCGCAGCTGCCGCCCGTCAGGTCGACCATGTGCGCGGGCATCATCAAAATGCTCTCCACGTTCGTGACGTCTGAGTTCGGAATCACCAGGTAGTGCGTCGACATCAGCGAGGGCGGCGCTGCGCCCGAAGTCTCGCCGCTCGACTCGAGCTGGAACGAGAAGTCCAACTCCGGAATGTACGCCGTCTGGTTCAGCAAGTTCAGCGTGCGCGTGCCGCTGCGCAGCACCTTGCCCTTGTGCAGCACCTCGAACTCGACCGCGATGTCGAACACGGGCGTGCCCGCGCCAATCATGTACACCCCGTACGCGGGCTTCTGAATTTGCAGACAGTGCCGCGAAGCCCAGTGCCGCGAGTGCCCCCAGTAGATGCCTTCCCACGCGTTGCAGGTGACGTCCGAGCGTTCGATTTCGTTTCCGCGGTTGAATTGGAACGTCGCCTCGATGCAGCCGCAGACGCGCCCGCCTCTGAGCAGCGTGCGCGTGTACGCGTCCGACGAGCCGTTGATCACGCTCTCGATCGCAGGGTCGGACAGGTACTTGTAACACGCCGTCGGCTCGAAGTCGTTCGCGTCCTCGGAGCGGTCGACGTCGCCGCCCCACCAGCCGTACATTTTCACGGCCTCCTTGAAGCCGCCGAACGTGTACGCCTTGTGCACCAGCCCGTACGACAGCCGCACGGCGGTCTTCTTCAGCCGTACGTGGACGCTGATTGCGTCCTCCGCGTCCGCGCCGGGCAGCGTCGCGCTAAACTCTTGCTGGCTGTTCGCGTCGAGCATCGACAGTCCGTAGTACACATCTCTACACTTGTTGCGGCTGCACTCGTTCTGCAAGACCAGCAGCGATACTTCAGCGCGCAACGTCGAAACCAGCAGCCCCAGCGCAGCCAGCCACATGATTCGAACGTAAATTTTGAATTTAGGGAGACTGCTCAATTCAGATTTGCGGCAGCGCAAATTGCGCCAAAAATTCGGCTTCAATCTCGTCCAACTCCGGCGCGGGCAGCACCAAGCTGTGCAGCGGCGCGCCGAAGTCGCAGGCCGCCAGCTGCGCGCGCGAGCCGTAGCCAATTTGCTCGTCCGCGCAGCCCAGCCGCGCGACGCCCACGAGTTTTGCGTCTGCAGGCAGCCGCTCGAACAGCTGCCCGAACTCGAGCTGCGCCAGCGCAGTGCGGATGCTCATGAAGCGCGGCGGCTCAAACACGTCGCGGCCCGCGACGATGTTGCTGACAGAGCGTTCCTTCACCTTGATGTCTAGCAGAATCAGCGTGTGGAAGTTGTGCGAGTAGTTGAACCAAATTTTGTCGACAAACGAGAGCGGTTTCCAGTCGCCTTCGAAAAACGGCACCGAAACCGTCTGCGCGAAGCGGTAAAGCTGCAGCCCGGTCGAGGCTACCGCGTTCATGATGCTCGCGTTGTGCTCCACGCGCGTCTGCACGCCGGCGCGCCGCGCGCGCAGCATTAGGTCCGTGTGCGTCGTTGCGCCCAGCGGGTCGCCGACCACGAGAAACGCGGCGCGGCCCCGCTGCGCAGCCGCGATAATACGGTCCGCGCGCAACTCCACGAAGTCTCGGTCGCACTCGTGCACCGCGGCTTGCGCGTAGCGCGCGCCCACGCTCGCTGCCGTCACGTTCGGCTGCACGGAAGTGTAGCACTCGAAGAAGATGTCGCTGCAGCTGCGCAAGAGTGCGTCGCCCTGCAGCGTCACGCAGTCGAGACCGCCCAAGCCCAACCCGACTAAAAAAAGCGGCATAATACTCCGCGTAAATCGGAAAATGGAGCCGCGCTGCAACTTGCCTTGCGCGCTGATGCGCAGCCGTTCGCAATGAGTTGGAATGCGCCCT